TGATAGATTTGGGGAATGGGTAGGGTGTGGAACTCCTTGCCTTCAAACAGTTAGGTAATCTCCCCTTGAGGTATGTTCTGCCACGATGTGAAAACATTTATTTTTCTAAGAAGCTCTTGGTTCTACCATTAATTAACTTGATTTCCTGATAGTTTGCTTTGATTGTTTTTAAATTCATGCTGCTATTTTTAGATTTTTAAAATATACACTTGTAAGTTTGGATGGGAAAAATGAATTTTTTTAAAAAAAAAATTAAAAAGTTAAATAATTATAACAAAAATATTGCTTGTTGTAACAGTTAAATAATTATATGTTGCTTGTTGACAGAATGATATGCAATTAGATGCCAAGGTAGAAATGAAATGGGGGCAGAATTTGCTGTTTTGATTTTCAAAACAGGTGGCATGTGCCAGCAATAGTGGTGGAATTCAAATTTTTTTACTACCGGTTCTGTGGGTGTGGCAGGGAAGGATACTGCAAAATCTCCATTCCCACCTCATTCCAGGGGAAGGATACTGTAAAATCTCCATTCCCACCTCACTCCAGGGAAAGGATACTGCAAAATCTCCATTCCCACCCTACTCCAGAGAGAAAGTAACCACTGGTTCTCCAAACTACTCAAAATTTCTGCTACCGGTTTTCCAGAACTGGTCAGAACCTGCTAAATACCCACTCTGGCCAGCAACTCATCAACTTCCTTTGGGGTTTGAGGTTAGGCAGACTTCTGTAGAATTTTAGAGCTGTAGGTTATATTGGGTAATTGAAGACAAACCCTGAGGATGACAAATTACTTTTGTATTATGCCAAAAAATGCAACAATCTACGTGTTGGCAGTGAAAGCTTCTATTTGCACATTAGAAGAGTGTTACGGGTTTTGCATTGGCTGCCAGTAGAATTGTAGATACAAATCATAATGCAGATTGTAATCTGTAAAGCCCTATATGATTTGGTGCATCATATAGGATGCCTGTATCTACTATCTACTTGAACCTGATTGTGTGTGTTATGTTAGCAGGATGATGTAAGGAGACCCTGGAATCAGTGCTCCTTTGTTGTGGAACCACTGCTTGGCATAAGCTTAATACAGATTGCCTCTCTAGGATTTTAATGGCTGAGTTCCGGCTAATCAGGATGTGTATATGTATATATATGTATGTATAAATACACACACACACACACACACACACACACACACACACACACACACACACATACACACATTATTTGTCTTATTCTTTTTTCTTAGTCATTGTTTTATAAAGTTGTAAACCACCAGGAATATAGTAGTGAAATTAAAATTGCAGTGGATAAATAAATATAGCTACCTGACTGCATCCATAAATTTATCAAGCTTGAACTCAATTTGAAGCAAGACTTCATCTATTTTACTTTCCACAATCCGGCCACTTTACAAATAAACATGTTCTTTTCTATTGAGTTCAATCATAAGTGAATATGAGCCAGTCAGCATCAGGACTGGCATGGATTACATCTTGATTTATGGGAAGTTAGGGAATTAGGTGGACTTTGGATCTCATGCCCATGCCTCCTATTCTGATTTCAGGGTGGCGGGCAGGCGGGTGGGGGGAAGTTACCTTGGAAGCTGGTGGAGAGAAAGTGTTTCAGATATTGGAATTCCTTTTCTGGATTAAAAAAACTGTTCAAGCTTGGAAAAGAGACTCCTTTCTGCAATGCCCTCCTAGTATCTTTGTATTCTCTTATTCATAACATGATAAATTTAATGGATGTTATGTATTGTAATGTAAATATTTACTTAATGTTTTAGAACTCATATTGTTGTTTAAAGTTGCCATACGCCAAAACTGTAGGTCTATATTAGCTATTTCTCATACAATAGTTCTGAGTTTCTCTACTTTTTCTCTAGTATAGGAAAATACCTGCGAACAAGGATAATGCTAGGAGCAGTTGAACTGTTATAGACCTGTGATGTCATTATCTTAAGGCAATCCTGATTCACAGATACAAACCTCCTAAGAGATTCAATGCACTGCTGTGGAAACTGAATTCACAGCTAGCATCTTCCTTTCTGAAGTGCAAGGACGTTTTGTGTGTAGATGTTTTGGGTTGGAGATCTTTACAGGCCCTTTTGGTTTAACAAATGAAAAGCTGATATCCAAATAATCTGAAAGACAAACAACTTGCTGTCGGGGAACTTGATGGCCCCATAGAGCACAAGGGCAACCTGGGTAAATCTATGCAATTGATGCAATTATAGCACATCCAAAGTGTTCCAGTTGATGCAATTACAGCACATCCAAAATGTTCCAAAAGTATTAAGATTTATAATGATGAGAATAAGGATGAATATGAGTTGTTTCTTTCTGGGAAGAGAGTACATCAGTAGTGGGGAAAAGAGAAACAAGAAGGGACATTAGCAACCCGCTGAGAGAAATACTGAATACTCAATAAATATTTGCCCCCTTGCTGAGGTCCTCTTCAACCCTAAACACTCCTGCCTGGGAATTAGGAATGTGGGAGTCATCTTTTTCAGTAAAAAGATATATTTCATCAAAACAGAAGCCATCATACTAGATAGGTAGGTAGGTAGATGATAGATAGATAGATGGATGGATGGATAGATAGATAGATAGATAGATAGATAGATAGATAGATAGATAGATAGATAGATAGATAGATAGATAGATAGATGATTCACAGAGCCAAATCCTTGGCCTTTCATTGCTTTTAGTTCCATTAATTAGTTACTTTCAGTCTTAGAATAGAATGGAATAAAATAGAACAGAATAGAGCTGGAAGGGGCTTTGGAGGTCTTCTAGTCCAGCACCTTGTTCAAGCAGGAGTACCTATACCATCTCAGACAAGTGACTGTCAAGTCTCTTCTTAAAAACCTATAGTGATGTAATGCCCCTGATTTCTGGAGGCAAGCTGTTCCACTGGTTAATTGTCCTCATTGTTAGGAAGTCTCTCCTTAATTACAGGTTGCTTCTCTCTTTGATTTGTTTCCAACCATTATTTTCTGTCCTGCTCTCTGGTGCTTTGGATAATAATTTGACCCCCTCTTCTTTGTGGCAGTCCCTCAAATACTGGAATGCTGCTATCATGTCACCCCTAATTCTTTTTTTTAGACTAACCAGATCCAAAACCTGCAGCCGTTCTTCTTAGTCTCCGCTTAGTTTCTTAGCTGCTTAGTCTCCAGGACTTTGATCATCTTAGTTGATGTTCTCTGAAGTTTTTCCAAAGTCTCAACATCTTTTTTTGTAGTATGGCGATCAAAATTGGTTGCAGTGTTCCTGGTGTCATCTTGCTAGGGTTTTGTAAAGTGGTACTAATACTTCACATGATTCTATGCCTCTGTTTATACAACTTAGAATTTTATTAGCTTTTTTAGCGGCGGCTGCACATTGCTGGCTGATATTCAAGTGATCATCCACTAGGACTCCAAGGTCCCTCTCACAGTTACACTTTTTGAGCCAGGTCTCACCTAATCTGTACTTATACCTTTAGTTTTTCCTGCCTAAATGTAAAGCTTTGTTTTTCTCCACAGTAAAATTCATTTTGTTGGATACGTCCCATTGTTCAAGGTTTTCAAGATCTTTTTGGATCTTGAGTTTGTCTTCTGGGGTGTTGGCTATTCCTGCCAACTTAATATCATCTGAACATTTGATAAGTTCCCCTTCTATTTCCTCATCTAAGTCATTTGTAAAGATATTGAAGAGTACCAGGCCTAAGATGGAGCCTTGTGGTACCCCACATGCTTACTTCTCTCCATGTGTATGTCAGGGTGATATTCAAATATATAAATTAAAAGTGATAAATGACACATTAAATAACACCAGTAGAATAAAACAATAACATCTCTGGTTGTGATAAAAAGCAAGTGATGAAAATGTCATTGCAGTCTAAAAATTATACAAGTTGATATAGTTCAGTAAATAAAAACGTCTTCATCTAGCCCTGTCCCCTAAAAATAGATTATAAAATGGGTTTCAGTGAGATGCTTTTTATTGGAATAGTAGCTGCATTTTTTTTTTACAGATTTTGCTCCATGAAATTTTGCTTCCCCAGAATTATTCCACTATCCATAAAAATGTCATGATAGATTGAACTACTGTATCATCAAGAAGAGCATACCAGCAGCCCAGTATCTAACAAGAACTTTCTGAGAAGCTGAAGGTGAAATATGAAAGAGATAGGCCACGTTACAATCTGTGTATACTGTAACAACATTCAGAATAAATTATTTTGAAAATAAAGAACTATCTACATTTTTGTTAGCGGAAAAAGAAACCCCTTTATCAAATTATACTACTTTTAATAGCAGTAGCACCTTCGATAGCTTTTTGACTCTGCAGAAGCAGTCTGAATCTGCATAATAGATAGGGAGCCAAAAACCGGAGTGGGGGTGGGGAGAGAAACATGGCCTCCTCCTTGCTTATGAGCGTCGATGAGTCACCTGCTAGTTACTATGAGAAATTGGATGCTGCAAGAAAAAGACTTTTGTGTCTGATCCGCCAGAGGCTCTATATGTTAGCATTGCAGACAACTTAAGTGGATTAATCAACACAGTGACAGTTGTGCAATAATATTGGCCCCTGTTGATTTTGCCATATGATCCTTTGTGTGTCTGATAAATTCAGTGCCATTCTATAACCTGATGTTTTTCTTATTTGATTGCATTAGCAGGAACCTCCAGAGCCACTACCTCCTCCTCCTTCTTCCCTTTTCCTCTTCTCCTTATCAGCAAACGTGCTGTGCCTGTTTGAATGTGCTCTTGCATACTGAATATACTGTAGGCTTTATCAACAAGTCAAAAACCATATGCCTCAGGACATTGAATAGCTAAAAAAATTTCCTTAAATATAAAAAGGCGGGTCTTGGAAAAACTTTCAGCTTGTTTAAAGCTTTTTAAAAAATATTTTTAAAACACAAATACAACTAAATATGGCAATGACTTGGTAAAGATAATAATTAAGTCAAATAAGTCCTCATAATTGATTGGAACAAATCACACTGAAGACAGTGTTATTATCCTAATTCATAATTCTGTGTAGAATGTAATTTCTGGTTTAAACAAGCTAGTGGAAGAATTGCTGCATCACAATTTGCCTACAATATACACAATATAATTTATTACTTTATCATATTGTTGCTTATTATTATAGTAAAATCTTGATGTAATGGACTATTTGGGCAAATGGGAATCTATTAAGGCTGAATGTCCATTAAATCTAAAGAAGAAGAAAAAGAACTGAAAAGATGTGAGGTATAATTTGATTCAGGGTCTCTTCTCTCCCTACTCCACTTTGAAGAGGAAGAAGTCAGGCTATGGGATATGAATCAGAATTTCTGTTTCAGTTACTGAGACAATAAAAGAGAAGGTGGCAATTCATATTGCTGCAGCTCTGATCTCTCTCTAGCTCTAAATAGGTAGGAATACGTGTGTGTGTGTGTGTGTTTAATGGCCAAGTGTGATTGCACATAAAAGGAATTTGTCTATAGTGGCATAAGCTCAGTGTACATACAAACAACAAAGTAGTAAGTTATAGATTATAAATCATAAGATTCAAACAACAAGAGATAAATCATACCAATAGGAGTAGGTAATAGGAAAAATGAGAAGATGAGGAATATATGAAGATGAGAAAGATAACAGCAATACAGTCCTCCTACAAGGATAGCTATCCTTAGACATAAAACAGTGCTATGGGAATTAGGTGTTTAGCAGGGTGATGGCATGGATGAAAAAAAACTGTCTTTGTGTCTAGTTGTTTTGGTATGCAATGCCCTGTAGCAGTGTCCTGAAGTGAGAAGTTTTTCTCCCCTAAGGTATTGATGGTGTGTTTTAAGTCAACAATTTCCTTCCTTCCTTCCTTCCTTCCTTCCTTCCTTCCTTCCTTCCTTC